TGTGTATAAGAGACAGTGTTTTGACTGATCAACGAGTGAAAGTGCGCGAGCTTGTTGTGGCCACAGGCATATCACATGACACAGTGATTTCAATTTTGCACGAACAATTGGGTATGAAAAAGTCGGCAATAAGGGTGCCGCGTTTGCTCACTGTGGACCGCGCACGTGCAACTACCGGCACCGATGGCCAAATTCAATGAATTCCGCTACGAATTGTTTACCCATCCAGCATATTCGCCAAATTTAGCCCCTTGCGACAAGTTCCTGTTTCCAAACCTGAATAAGTGGTTCGAAGGAAAGAGATTCACCACCAGAGAGCAGCTCATCGCCGAAACAGAGGCTTAGGAAGAATTCACACCTTGACAGAAAAGCAGAAAACAGAAAAGCAGAAGTCAATCAAAACTCACGCTGGTAGCAAGAAAAGCAGAAAGCAGACACTGCATGTTGACTACCAGCGCGAGTTCTGATTGGTTTCTGCTATTCTGTTTTCTGCTTTTCTGTCAAGGTGTGAATTCTCCCTTATTTTGAAGGTTGGACAAATCATATTATTCGAACGATTTGAAAAAGTTGGAGAATCGTTGGATCAAATGTATCGAGCTGAAAGGAGACTATGTTGAGAAATAAAATTGAATTGATCAAAAAAAATGTGTTTTACTATGTTTTTCTAAAAATTTATCGACTTGCCTTCATACTTTGCAATTATTCTGTATGTTTCTTTATGAAAAAAATCTAAATAAGAAGAACTGATATTTTTGGTGAGCAGATAAATAAATATATACACAATATATATGTATATATATATATATATATATATATATATATTGATATATATTGATATACCTATCATATTCGACATATATGTATATATGTGTTTATGTCGAGCATGTCTATAATATACATATAACGTATGATGATATAATCTATTCAATCATAATTCTCTTTAATAGTTCATCTGATTCATAGATATATAATTATTTCGAATATAGACGAAAGATAATAGCACACATACACACACAGAGCCACTTCTTTCGGTTGTTAGCAAACAATAATTTCGGAAAGCGACAACGCGTCATATTTTATTCTAAAATTTTTGGCCAAACTAACACTTTTGATCGACCGCACTACAAAGACTTTTGCCTTTACAACATGAATCTCCGCTCTCTTTCGGAGAAAGAAAATTGCAAACGAATTCATGTAGCACCTTTAATCACGGAATGGAAGTTACGGCTCGCTTCTTTAACTTCTGTCGCAAATCAACAAAACATGAGAGAAATGGTGAAAAAAATGGAAAAGTAGAATGGAGGATGCCGGAAAGAGAGACAGAAGAGTGATAAATGTTGCAGCGAGCAATAAATTATCGTAGAGATTGCTTTCGCGTTTTGAAATACGACGGGAAGAACAATAATTTATCGGAGAAATTCTTCAATTTCAATTCTAATTTCAGAAATGGCCCTAAACACATTGTCATGGCTAAATCAATGCTTCGTGGAAAAGATTCTGCGAAAATCGGAAGGCGACGATTCGATTCAAGTGATCGATGTATTTTCAAATCGGGGCTCGGACAAGGGTGACAACTATAATTGCGATATCGTCAGAATTACTGCTGAATTTTTGCGTGAAGAAAGTGATCGTAAGATTGTAGAAAAGAAATCAATCATCGTTAAAGTTTCGCCCGCAATTGAAAGTGTTCGATTCAATATTGTAAGTTGATTTAACTTATACAATGTTTCTAAAAAAAATAAGAAAAAAAGAAGGAAAGAAAAAAAAATGAAAATGATAAAACTGCAAGTTTTATTATTTTGATAGAATTTTCAATTTAACGAAAAAATTAGTATAAGTATTTGTAAGTAATTAGAAATTAAACATAAAATTATTTTTATGACTTAAGTTTAAAGAAGCAAATATATTTCGAGAAAACATTTTTCAGTCGTTTCAAGATGAATTTTAATTGTGGATAAAATTAATATTTATTTGCCATCCGGTAAGCCGTCACACACACGTTTTCTTTGTTCTATAAACCTTTATATCATAATTAAATAAACTTGTTACAGCTTACACAATCAGCTTTCTTTCATACCGAGGTATCGATGATGTTCAATACTTTGGATAAAATGAATAAATTATTAGGTCCAAAGCACCGTCTAAGTGGGAAAGGTTTATACGTGCAAAATGAAAATCCAATACTTCTGGCAATCGAAGATCTCATGCCTCTCGGTTTTTGTATGGCCGATCTGTCTGGTCTCGACTTAATTCATTCCATATTGGCGCTTCGCGGACTAGCCAGATTTCATGCAGCCTCAGTAGTCATATGCGAAAAGGTAAATTATTTTGATTGAATTGTTTCATTGCAATTATTAAAAATTCAAGTCAATACAAGAACCGAACATTTGCGATAATAAGCTCAAACATAATACATATGAATGTCACACAGTGAAATATCACACTTTGATTTCATAGCGTGAACATCACATTGGTTCAAGATTGTTTTTGTGCTATATATAATTCAACATATCTGATAAAAACATGACATGCAGAATTTGGAAATGTTCTAAAGTTTCATATTAATACACATTAATTTGAAATGTGACAAAATATTTACAATTTTAATCACTCGATTCTCTGCTAAGAGATAATTTTTAGCAAAACACGTAAAGTAGTTGAATGTATAATGTGTTTAACACATTTTACATCTATTATATGTAACTTAAAGGGAAGTTGTTCAATTTAGTCTAATTGATACTCTCTATGTCTAATCAAATACTTGGCAATTTGTATGATCTCATATTTGATTTGGGACAACTTTTATTGGTTAAAATAATAATTTTGGTTTAGATAAGATGTACCTAATGTACGATACACTTGTACATACTTGGCATAAAATTATTTTTAATGATTAATATCTCGATAACTACTGCAAAGATCGAAAAATAGTAGAGAACTTTTTTGTTCAGATTGGTCCACACTACCTCCCCACACTGTCTCTTATACACATCTCTG